CGGAGATTCTCCCGTGTGCTCGTAGTATGGCGCGAGTGGAGCGCCAGTGAGGGTCGAGACCGCCGATGACAACCGTGACAAAGGCGTCTTCTGAGATCAATCCCCTACATCGAAGAAGCCTGTCGCGCAGTTCGCGGCAGCGACTGATATACTCCATGCCCTTCTCGCCTGGTTTCATTTCTATTGTTGTTAGCTGCGCCATTAACCGACTTTGGTTTACACTGTCTGTTGCTTGATACAGGTTCTTCAAGTGGTTGTACGCGAGCTCCGCGGAGTTACCGTAACCTCGGTAAGTCCTTATGTTCTGCTGTTGGGTCGGGGTGATGTTCCTCAGTAGTATTGTGTACGCCATCATCGATTGATAGGTGTACTGCTGCTTCTCATACTGTGTGCCGTTTGTTGGATATGGCAGGGACCCGTCGAAGAAGCCAAGGATCTGCGCTCCTTCCATCATCAGCTCGAATTCGAACGACCAGGTAAAGAAGTCCTTTCCGTCAAAAGGCTTTGTCGTTTGTAGTTTTAGAACATGCGCGAATTGCGACTGAACTTGTAATGCGTCCAGCGCTCTCTCTTGTCCCGGTGCAGGTTGTGGTTGCGGCATGAAGCTGACAGAGCCGCGCTGGGGCTCGTACGGAGCGAAGGTAGGTTGTTGATGTTGATTCCCGCGTGCGTAGGATGAGCCATCGAGACTCATGGGTATCACGTTGTTGTTGTTGTTGCTGTTGTTTGATTGCGCAGGTACTCCTTGCTGGTGCTGCTCGTAGAAGGACATGAAGGAGAAGAATTTCTCCATCATGCTTGGATCGAAGCCCACGCCTTGGTTTGCGGGTGTTTCCGTAGACCCAGCTGCTGGTCTCGTCGTTGTCCCTTCCTCTGTCTGTAGACCAGAGGCAGGAGGTGGAGTAGGGGTAGTACCGGGAGAGCCGTTGGAGGAGCTCCTCTCCTTTCTAGCAGACATGTCTTCTTGATGTATTTAGTGTTAAAAAAAAAAAATAGTAACTTTTAACTCTAACTGCTCTCATACCATGTTGGGCTGAAAAGCCATAGGATCTTTGTAGAGTTAAAGTCTGAGTAAGTGATGTAATAGCGGAAGCGTTGAATGAAGTCCTTGAACCACCTTGCGCTAGTAGGTATCAGGCCCTACGATATCAGGAATTTTACCCTGAAATTCCTGATTTTCAGGGTTTTTTTTTTACCTACCCTGAAAATCCAGTGTTCAGCTTTTCCTAGGGCTGATTTTTCAGCCTTCACATGCCACATGACTCTGAACTTTCAGCAATTTTTTTGAAGTGACACTGATGCCTTTACGTTGTAACGAGTTTGACCCTGAAAGCGAATCCTACTAGGTACGAGTGTACTTGACCGGAAGTTCTGGGAAAATCAGATTCCCGCGGTGTCAGCAGGGCTTGTCGTTGACTATCGGACAATTTTGCCCACACTGATGGCCCCTTAGTTGGCGCGTCTGGTCCGTTGATTGGCCACATTTGCAACATTAAGGGACTTGACCAATTACAAGGTTGCAGCACAGAGATGCTGGCAGGCTGCGCTGCGAGGGATTCTGGCGGTCTAGGTCGTGCTGGCAAGCACTGATGCATCCACGCCTCCCAGCCGTGCTACCTGCCATCCAGCCTCACATCCCGTTCTGCTGTTTGCTTCCTTCCTAGTGTTTTTACTACTAGTAAAATAAAGACTACCGTACTAGTATCAGCCTTTTTCTGTAGGGAACACTGATGCATCAGACTTTTTTTGGGTTGCGAAGCAACCTATTACAATCTTTATGTACAATTTTTTTTTCAATCCTCAATACCTTTAAAAAATAGAGGGAAAAAATATAGTGAACGGTACTAGCTAAATGACTGACTGCTATGTATCTGCCGCGTCAATTTACCACGTGCTGAACCACATTCTTTCTCATTTCCTAGTTTACTTTGACTGAACCTATATTTCATGGGTTGCCAAAATGATGTACTGTGAATGCATAACTGTTTATTCCGTGATGCACATGTCTGCTGTTGTTATAAGTAGATGAAGTAAATGCAAATGCATAAGTATAATGCATATACGGTACTACCGGTACCGTAATGAAATAAATGCACAGCATGATGGAAGTGCGTAACAGTTAATTGACGCAGACCCTATGCTACCGCATCCCCTGCCTAGCATGGGGGGGAGCTCAATAGCATAATTTCTGAATCATCCAACTGTTACATGAAACAACACAATCTGTGTGATATAAAAAACAGGTCAATTCCATCAAATCCAGTTCGAATGGACACACTCACTAAGTGCGCAAAGAACCTTCTCGGAAATGATAGTTTGATCCCAATTTTTAAACCCCACAGACATGTGTTATTAATGCAATGGAAACATGAATGAAAACGCATACGCACACAACACAACGCATACACATGATCATACACATTCACACAGACACGCACGCACGAAGCCAACTGACAAAGCATATTAACCGCATATGAAATAGAAACCTAAATCACCAAGACATTATGTATCCTATACTGTAAGTCACAAGCAATATCAGTCTACTTCTCATATTGAGCTCGACTGCCTGAAAAGTAAGACAAAGCTGGGTTGAGGAAGGGAAGGCAAATGGGAAATAACAAGGCATAATGAAATTACAAGAAAAAGGAATAATGAAGAAACAAATGAAACAATACAAGGGCCAAGAAAAACGCCATGAGCATTGAAGGGTTAGAGCTGACAAATAACAAGGAGAAAATGTACTAAGGCATAAAACGAAAGTAAAGAACGAGAACAAAGGGAAAAACACATGACCAGACAGTAAACGAACGAAGAGAATATAACAAATACGTTGAGCGAGAACAACGGAGACCGAGAGCGAGAGCGAGAGCGAGAGAGAGAGAGAGAGAGAGAGAGAGAGAGAGAGAGAGAGAGAGAGAGAGAGAGAGAGAGAGAGAGAGAGAGAGAGAGAGAGAGAGAGGACGAGAGAGCGAGAACGAGAGAGTGGACGAACGAGAGAGAACGAACGAGAGATTTGACAAAAGAGAACGAGAGAACGACAGAGACGGAACGAGAGAGAGAGAGAGAGAGAGAGAGAGAGAGAGAGAGAGAGAGAGAGAGAGAGAGAGAGAGAGAGAGAGAGAGAACGAGAGAGAGAACGAGAGAGAGGGAACAAGAGAGAGGGAGAACGAAAGAGAGAGAGAGAGAGAGAGAGAGAGAGAGAGAGAGAGAGAGAGAGAGAGAGAGAGAGAGAGAGAGAGAGAGAAAGAAAGAGAGAGAGAGAGAACGAGAGAGAGAGAGAGAGAGAGAGAGAGAGAGAGAGAGAGAGAGAGAGAGAGAGAGAGAGAACGAGAGAGAAAGAAAACGAGAGAGAACGAGAAAGAGAACGAGAGAGAGAACGAGAGAGAGAAAACGATAGAGAGAGAACGGGAGAGAGAGAACGGGAGAGAGAGAACGGGAGAGAGAGAACGGGAGAGAGAGAACGAGCGAGAGAGAACGGGAGAGAGAATGGGAGAGAGAGAACGAGCGAGAGAGAACGGGAGAGAGAGAACGGGAGAGAGAGAACGGGAGAGAGAGAACGGGAGAGAGAGAACGAGCGAGAGAGAACGAAATGGACTGAACATGCAACCTATTACAATCTTTATGTACAACCTAAGACGAGGTTGAGAAAAAAATGAACTAAAACATGCAAATATGAAGAAAAGGCAACCGACGAGAGGAAAAGTTTAAGGATGAAGAATAGAAGAAACAGATGCAAGCTTATGCAGGAAGGAGAACCTGAAATCTTTACAAAGGGCCGAGAACCTAAGTTTAAACAACTAAGTCTCGCTAATACTCATCCATTTACACGGCTAGGATACGGAATGACTAAATGTTAGTCTATCTAATAGGCATCTAATTTAGTTGGAGTTAAAGTTGAGGGATCTTCTTACCTAAGTTGCAGTTAGAGTAGGTGGAGAAGTTGGTAGAGCGTGACGAGCGAGGAGAAGCGGGAGAAAAAAAGGGCGAACAAACCCTAAGGTAGTCTCAGATTCGTCGCAATTTTCTATGTCTGACTAATTTAGCTATTCAAGGCAAACATCTGTTCTGTAGCAGTGGTACAAGGCTTGGAGTGGAATCGAAAGGTCCTTGGTTCGAATTTCGTTCGCGCTGTACATTTGACCTTTTCCTGGTGAGAGGAAGTACCACTTAGTGTCATATTACAGCATTATGTACAGAATTAGAAGTTGTACAAATTTATATAATTACGCAAAACGCTTCGCAACCCTAAGACGAATTCGTCGCCTCTTGTTTTAAGTAACACTGAACTTTCAGGCTTTTCTTTTAGGCGACCCTGACGATCAGGGTCTAGGGGCAGAGGGACCCTGATACCCTTACGTGCCTAAAAGTGAATCTGAGGGCCTGGTAGGTATGTGAGGGCAAAGTAAGTTGATTAAAGCAAAGAGATACAGGAATAAATATATGAGTACAAAGAATATGAAGAGACATTATGACTACTTTACTGTTGCGGTTCGATATAGTGCGACTCGGGCAACTGCTCAATGTCGAGTCAGTTGTGTGTCCTTGCTGTCGCGCTGCGTCAGGTCAAAGGTCGCTAACCTTTGACTTTCTCTTAACCTCCAGCGGTTACGTTAACTTCCGAGGGTTGACTCGCGATGCTTCGATTTGAGCTGACACGACAGAGGCGCTTAAACTATTTGTTCCCAACAGTTCACACCACCTACAACTCTCAACAGATCAGTGGTAAACCATTACACGGTGTCCTCTTTTGAGTTTTTGCACACTGTCATGATTTCCACATTGGCTTCGATTCGACTAATTTCCACTTGGAAAAATATAGGCAGGTTAGGTTAGCTGTAGTCTTTCAGCTCCTATTTTTTAGCGGAAAAACAAAAAGAAATGGAATATGCCTACAGAACTTAGCAAGAGCTGGTCTTGGAGGACTGCCACAACAGCTGGAGCAGGTGAAAGATAAGCGTTAGGTTGAAAGAAGCCGCTGGTGCTGCATGTTACCCGAATGATCAACCTAGCCTGGCTTCACGAGCCAACACCTGTGGGGTGAAGGGGGAAAGGCGGAAAGGGCAAGGACTGAACATTAGGGTGGCGGAGGAAAGGACCTGCTGTCATGTGTCACTCCAGAGTTGCTGCTAGAGAAGAGAGACGGAAAAAGAGAGACGGAAAAAGAGGGCGGAGGGGGAGGGGAGTGGGAAAGAGAAAGAGACGTGGGCGATTGGGAAAGTGTGGGAGGATGGGATGGAGGAACATGAGGAGGGAGAGAGATTGGGAGTGCGTGTGAAATTAGACCAGCAGTTAACCAGCATGTGAATGAAAAATCCAGGGGATAGATGTGAGCCAGTGTCAAATAGTGGGGGGCGATTGGCAGTGGATGAGCCTTAATGAGTGCGGTGGGTGGTGGAGGGAGTGGAATGTGGCACTCTCGTCATGACGAAAACCCTCCCTCCTCCCAAGCCTCCCTCCCGCAGCATGAATTTGCAGCCAAGGAGGCGTTGATAATGGCAGCTGAGGACAGAATCACAAGTTCAACGTTTCCTGTTTCCCTTTTCAAGCTTGCTCCTTCAGTTTCATTCATGGAAGGGACTCCGGGTCCTACCCATTCTACCAACTCCTAAATATTTGTCCAGTCTGAGGGCAACCATGCATTGGCACAATGCTGTGCATTGGGGTGCAGAGGGGTGAGGTGCGGTTATGGTGGGTGCATACGCGCACCTCGTCGGCGAACTTGATGAGGATGGTGGTGCGTGGCCGTTGCTGCCCCTCCACCTGCACGTAGTGCGCTGTCACTCGCGCCGGGAAGCCCGCATTGTCCAGCACGCCCTGTACATGTGACGGGGGTATGAGAGAGTTTGGTACGGTGGAGAGCGGTACAAAGGCAGTGAGGCAGTGAGGGGCGCAGAGCAGTGGAAGAAAGACACCGGGTGCGGCTGATGGGAAAAAGCGATGCAAGGGGAGGCATGCGGGGGTGAGGGCACGGGGAGGGAGGGCAAGGGGAGGGAGGGCACGGGGAGTGAGGGCACGGGGAGTGAGGGCATCGGAAGTGAAGGCGACAGGAACGAGGCACCTGTGGCAGACATGACAAGTTGAATGGGTCATGCTGTAGAGACTTCAACAAGCTGCATGCATCATGACAGGGGTCACAGGGCCAGATTGGCTTGCGCAGGAGCTGGCAGCGTAGGTTGGTGTGCAGGAGCACGTGGTGAGGGAAGGGGACAACGGACCTTGACAATGCCTGCAACGAAGGCGCCACAGTTGAACGCACCCATGTCCCTAGGCACTGAGATGAACCTGATGCGCACACACACACGCACACACACACACACGCACACACGCACACACGCACACACGCACACACGCACACACGCACACACGCACACACGCACACACGCAAACACACGCACACACGCACACACGCACACACGCACACACGCACACACGCACACACGCACACACGCAACACACGCACACACGCACACACGCACACACGCACACACGCACACACGCACACACGCACACACGCACACACGCACACAGACAAACACACGCACGCACATGCACAGGGGGGCAGGCAGGTGTGCAGTGAACAGTGATCGTGGAGGGAGAGCAAGCGGGGTGGAAGGGAGACAGTGATAGGCCGAGGATGAGAGCGAGGAGTGAGAGAAAGAGGAATGAGAATGGGGAACGCAAGAGCACGAGGGGAGTGGGAACGAGCAGGGAAGGAGCAGGGCACCTGTTGACGAGCAGCTCTTTTTCGCTGATCATGTACTCATCCTCGTGCTCTGTGCTCTTCTCTAGTGAATCCGCCACCTGCCATGCAGTGCACCACACACACACACACACACACACACACACACACACACACACACACACACACACACACACACACACACACACACGCACACACACACCACCATCGGACACATTCCTACCCCCATACATGAATGCAAACACGGATGCATGCATGCAGTCTGGAGCAAACTCAATTTGCCTGATTTCATTTCATCTGCACATGCCTACCCTCGAGCTTACATCTGCATGCATGGATTGCACTCGCGTTTCTTACCGATGTTGCCCTGGGTGTTTTTTAGAGTTCTCAGAAACATCCTACCGATGTTGCCGTGGGCGATCCTCGCTCTTGGGGTGGAAACTGCGCCTTCATGCTCCTGCCTGCTGGACTGCCGTGTTGCCAGCGCACGGGTTCTTAACCCCGCATAACATCCACACCCCGCACTAGCTTCTTCTGATTTGTACAGCGCTCTATTTCCCACCATTGCAGAATGACAAAGCAACCACACGCTCTTCCCCACACGCTCTACCCCACACGCTCTACCCCACACGCTCTACCCCACACGCTCTACCCCACACGCTCTACCCCACACGCTCTACCCCACACACTGTACCACACGCACTCTCACCCACACGCTCTACCCCACACACTCTACCCCACACACTATACCCCACACACTCGATCCCACACACTCTCCCCCATACACTCTACTCAACACGCTCCACCCCATGCAATTTTTTCCCCACACCCTATCCTGCGCCCAAATCCACGCACAGTCTCCTGCAGCGCGGGCACAGTCCCTGCCTTACCCCCAGGCGCGCGCACCTTGCCAAAGAGGGCCTTCCACACGGTGCTGTGCACGAACGACAGTGTTGCTTTGTGAGTCGACTCAAAACACAGTCCAGACTCCCTACCCCAACCCCACGCGCACCGCACCTTGCCAAAGAGGGCCTTCCACACGGTGCTGTGCACGAACGACAGAATTCCCAGCACCCGCGTCTCCCGCCTGTTGCCCTGCCACGGGGGAAGAGGCATGCCGCAAGGGGGAGAGAGGGGGCCGGGAGACAGAGAAGAGGGATAGGCAAGGCTGTTGTGGGTGGGTGGGTGGGTGGGTGGGTGGGAGAGAATGCAAGCATGAATGATCATTTGGACCGATAGATGGCCAGCACAGCCCATTATCAGGCAACGCTTCCGCCTCCTCCCCTGTGCAACCCCTGTAAGCCATTCAACGATCACCCTCTCGCCAGTCACCGTGCCCACCTTTTCTCGCTGCACCAGCAGCTCTAGCATGCGCAGCCCTATGCCATACCCCAGGTCCTCCAGCCTGCAAGGGCATGTGCGTTGCGTGGGGGGCGTGGGAGGAGGAGGGGAGCGAGGCAAGGGAAATTGCAAGGAGATGAGTCGGAGGGGAAGGAAGGGGAATTGGGGCAATGGAGGAGGGAAGGAGGGCTGTTGAGGGGAGAGGGAGGGTACAAAAGTGGGTCGAGAGATTTTCAAAGAGGATGCGGAGAGGTGGAAGGGAGGGTGTGTGTTGTGTTGTTGTAGGTGGTGTAAGTGAAGGGCGAAATGAGGGGTAGGAGACGGGTGGCAGCAACGAGGGTGTGTGGTGGGTTGCAGATAGTGACCATGCGAGTGGGAAGGAAATGAAGAGAGGTCATGAGACCAAGATGCGCTGGCATAAGAAAGAAACAGACAAATGCAGGGGACACCCACAGAGGACACACACAGGGGACACACAGAGAGGGCGTGTTGCCTTGCCTCACATCGAGATGTGATGTGATGTGATGTGATGTGATGTGATGTGATGTGATGTGATGTGATGTGATGTGATGTGATGTGATGTGAGGTGATGTGAGGTGATGTGAGGTGACTCACTTCCTCTCAAGCTCTGCGATGTTGTTGACCCGCGTCTGGCTGTACTGCACCATCTCCGAGAAGAGAAACGCCAGCGCACTCAGACTCACCTGCCAGCCACCCATGGAGGGCGGTGATGGCCACATGGCACGGGGTGGCATGGCATGGCATGGAATGGTATGGTATGTTATGGTATGTTATGTTATGTTATGTTATGTTATGGTATGGTATGGTATGGTATGGTATGGTATGGTATGGTATGGTATGGTATGGTATGGTATGGTATGGAGTGAGTGGCATGGGATGGGGCAACAAGCAGTGGTGGACAGAAAAAAGGAATGGCAACGGAGGAGGGGCGGCACTACTTGAGTCAGAAAGGGTGAGCTAGCTAGAGGCAGATGGAAAAAATCGTCTGTTTAAGGACTCGAGAATGGCAGAGCAGGAGCAGCGCAGAAGGGGGCGGGCGGGTGGAAGGTGGGGCGACGGAGAGTGCCAAAAGTGGGTGGGGGAGGAGCAAGGCAGTGTGAGGTCGGGCGGGGAGAGAAGAGGCGGGGAGAGAAGAGGCGGGGAGAGAAGAGGCGGGGAGAGAAGAGGCGGGGAGAAAAGAGGCGGGGAGAAAAGAGGCGGGGAGAAAAGAGGCGGGGAGAAAAGAAGCGGGCACATGGATAGGAAGAGGAGAAGAGGCATGAGTAGGAAGAGGGGCGGGCAGCTGCCTACGGCCCAGTGGCAGGGAAAGGCGATGTGATACACGGATGGAGGTTTTGAGTCAACTCAAAACTCGACTGATCACACAATGGCGAGGAGAGGGTGGCAGGGAAAGGCGATGTGATACACGGAAGGAGGTATGCAAGGCGGAAGGGGGAGTGTAAGGGGGAAGGGGGAGTGGGAGGGGGAACGGGGGGTGCGAAGGGAAAGGGAGAGTGCGAGGGGGAAGGGGAACTGTGAGGGGGAAAGGGGAGTGTGAGGTGGAATGGGGAGTGTGAAGGGGGAAAAAGAAGTGTGCAGGGAAAGGGAGAGGGTGAGGTGGCAAGGGGAGTGTGAAGGGGAATGGAGAGTGTGAGGGAGAAGGGGGAGTGTGCGGGCGAAGGGGGAGTATGAGGGGAAAGGGGAGTTTGGGGAAAAGGGAGGGGATGGGCTACAAGCTCGGTTAACAAGTGAGATTTTCTTTTTACTGTGAACGCGGAAAGCTGATGGCAAGCACAGCAAGGGCGGTTAACGGGAGGGGGGACGGATGGGGGAGGGGGGGGCGGTATGGCAGTCATTGGGAGGGAGGAGCGTCCATAGCTGTGGAATGCGGTGGAGTGGCGAGATGGGAGGTGGAGAGGCGAGATGAGAACAGCTCAGTGGTGCAGGCGCCGATACCGCCGTCACTAATCCGTTTGTACTGCCCGCACTGCCGCACTGCACGGAAAGCAATACTGCTTACCAGTACTGCCCGCCCGGCTGTGCTGCATGTATGGCACCTCCCACCCACTGCCTGAACCGAGCGATTCAATCAATGCGCCGACCGGCAAAAGTGAGACCAAACGCGGAGCGCTGAGCGGCAGCGAAAACGGGACTCCGGGATGGGATGGGATGCGACGCCGGGGAGGAGGCGGGAGGGGCGGGGGAGGGGCAGGCGAGGAGGCGCTTGAACGCGTGGGGCGCGTGAGGTGCGCGAGGTGCGTGGGGCGCGTGAGGTGCGCGAGGCGTACCTCGGACTTGCCGCGGCTCATTGGCCGATCCACGATGTTCTGCAGCTGCTTCGGCCGCGACGCGCCTCCGATCATCATCTTGGCGGGCGCGAAAGACGACCGTTGCTCGTGCCGACTACGGCAAGTGTGCCAGGCTAAGGACGCGGTGCGATGAAGCAGGGAGGAAGGCAGGGTAAGAACGACCCACGGATTCGTCTCTGATCGTTTGTTACACGGCTTCGAATTGTACGCGTTTCCAATTTTACTTCGCAGCAGGCTCCAACGCGTACAAAACTGTGCATGAGCTTGCCTCGTAACGGTCTGGTAACAGGCAAAGTAAGGATCCTATACTTCATACACTACTGTGCACCTGGCTTGTAATGGGAGAAGGTCGAGGGGGGAGACCTGAATGGGGGGAAAGTGTGCGTGCGTGCAATCGTCCTAACTGGTTCATTTGTGGGGAGTATGTGTTACGTGTGCAATTGAGTGAACGAACGAAAATTGCACTATCGAAGCAAAAGTACAATGAGCGAAGGCATGAGCGAAGGATTATATAGCGAAACAATAGTGGTAACGGTAATGGACTGTGGTTGTCGCGCGTCGAGCCTGAGACTGAGGTTGGGAAAATGTCGAAGCGTAGGCCCGGAGCGCGGGTTACCAGCCGAGCCGTGAGGTCGGGATGCGATGTGCGAAAAAGGCGGGGTGATGAATGATGCGATGGTCGCGAGTGGTAACGGTGCTGACTGAGGTGCTACAGTGACGTACGCGCTGGGCAGGGACGCGAAGTAAGGAAAAGGGAATTTCCTTACACTACCCCCCCCTCCCCAAGGAGGCCCCTTCTTACGAGAGCGCATGGATATCGCGGAAATTTCGGCTTCGCAGATACTCGGTGAAGACAGGGTGGTTCTCAATTTTATTCAGGGGGACCCAGTTGTCTTCTGTGGGCGTTTGGTCCTTCCAGCGAATTAGGAACTCGATCCTTCGGGCTCCCCGAGGGTCGCGGACGCGGTGGCTGAGGATTTTGTCAGGGGTGATGAGTGGTTCGGTTGGGGGACGTGTCATGCTGGCTGGGCGAGTTCGTGGCAATTGGCTCGTGGATGGGATGTAAGGGCGAAGTAGGCTGACGTGGAATGACGGGCTGACGTACCAGTCAGCGGGGAGGAGGAGGTGGGCGGTGACGGGTGTGATCATGTGGCTGATGCGAAATGGCCCACAATATCGGGGGCGAAGTTTTGGAGTGATGGGCAGGCGAAGGTTCTGAGTGTCGAGTAAAACGAGGTCGTCGGGCTGATAAGTAACGGGTCTGCGATGTCGATCGGCGTTGCGTTTAGCGATGATGTTTGATTTTTTTATTGCTTCTGCTGCCCTGGTCCGTGCTGCCTGCAGAATCTCGGTGAACTGTTGTGCTCGTGGGACGGGGTTGTCGGGATTCGGTGTCATGGGTACTGTTGGGTCCTGTCCGTAATTTAGATAAAACGGCGATTGTTGCGTCGTGGCTGATGGTGCGTTATTGTATGCGAACTCAATGAGTGGCAGTTGCTGTTCCCACGTATTCGGGTCGTCGCACGTGGCTCGAATCAGCTGCTCCATGGTCCGATTTGTCCGTTCCGTCTGTCCGTCGGTTTCGGGGTGATAGGATGAACTGAACTGTAAGCGTGTGCCGAACTGCTGCCACAGGTTCCGCCAGAAGTTGCTGGTGAATTTCGTGTCCCTGTCGCTGATGATCGACGCGGGTATCCCGTGCAGTCGTACGACGGTGGAGATGAATAGTCGGGCGGTTTCTTCGGCTGTGATGGATTTCCTGCATGCTGCGAAATGAGCCATTTTCGTTAGTCGATCGACGATGACCAGGATCGCGTCATTCCCACTCGCCCCAGCTGGTAACCCTGTGACGAAGTCCATCGTCACCTGCTGCCAAGCACGTTCTGGCGGCGGGATGGGTTGTAATTGCCCCGCTGGTCGCTTCCTGCTTGACTTCATGAACTGGCAAGTGGGACACGATGCCACGTGTCGTTGCACATCGGTCAACATTTCTGGCCAGTAGTAGTACCGCTGCAGCTGCTGCCGTGTTTTTTCTACCCCGAAATGTCCCGAGGTAACTCCGTCGTGTGCTTCCTGTAACAGTAGTTCCCGCAGTAGCGTGTATCCCGGTACCCAGATGCGGTCGGTTCCAGTTTTTACGTAATAGACTCCTTTTGCCGCTGCGAATTGCTGTGAGTTGCCTCCTGTAAAGAACGGGTCTGTTTGATATCCGTGGGTAAATAGGCCGGTAAGCAGTGGGCTGGTCTGGGCGAGTAGTATCGCGTGGATCTGGGCAGTGGGGCGGGTCAGTGCGTCGGCGATATTCGATGCTCCTTTTTTGTATGTGACCGTATAGTGAAAATTCGACTCGAGGAAATCGAGCCATCGAATCTGTCGTGGGTTGAGGTGGGGTTGTGCGCGGAGGTACTGTAGAGATCGGTGGTCTGTCCGTACTGTCACGTCTGCGCCAGTTAAGTAGCAGCGCCAAACCTTGAATGCATGCACGATCGCGAGCATTTCGCGGTCGTGTATCGGGTAATTTCGCTCAGGCGGATGTAGTTTGCGTGATTCGTAGGCGATGGGTTGGAGGCCGTTGCCGAAGTCCTGTAACAGTACAGCTCCGATGGCGATGTCACTTGCGTCGGTAACCACTTCGAAAGGGCGGTGGGGATCAGCGATACGTAGAACGGGTGGTGAACAGAGGACGTTTTTTAGGGCAGAGAAGGCAGCATGCTCTTTCTCCCCCCACGTAAAAGTGACCCCCTTACGCAGTAAATCAGTTAGTGGGGCTGTTAAACGTGCCATGTCGGGCACGAACCGTCGAACGTAATTAACAAACCCTAAAAAACTCTGCAGTTCCGTGATGTTTGTCGGGGGGCGCCACGCTTTTACCGTATCCAGCTTCTTTGGGTCGATCTCAACCCCAGCCTCGGAAATGACGTGACCTAAAAACACTAGCCTATCCCTAAAGAACTCGCACTTGGAGCCTTTGGTGAGCAGCCGATGTTCCTCTAAAACCTTAAAAACTGCTTCAAGATCTGCTAAGTGTTGCTGCTTATCCCGACTGTAAACGAGGATATCGTCGAGGTAAACGATCACGCATTTATCTAAAAGCGGTCTAAACGCCTCGTTCATGGTCATCTGAAACGTCGCAGGCGCGTTCGTTAACCCGAAAGGCATTACTGTATACTCGAATGACCCGTACCTAGTCCTAAATGCTGTTTTTGCGCAGTCCGATGGTTCGACCCGAATTTGATGGTAACCTCCCCGTAAATCTATTTTCGAAAAGACACGTGCCGTTCGCAGTTGGTCAATGAGTTCGTCGGCGCGGGGGATGGGGTATCGCGATTTGACTGTTACTCGGTTAAGCGCTCGGTAGTCGATGCACATGCGAAAACCTCCGTCTTTTTTCGGTGTGAACAGTATGGGTGCGGCGAACGGTGACGAGCTTGGGCGAATAAACTGCTTCTCTAACAGGTAATCTAACTGCTTCCTTAACTCGTCGAGCTCGGGCTGTGTCAGTCGAAATTGCCGCTGTACTGTTGGCTGTGCCCCCGGTTCTAGCTCGATCCTATGGTCGTGCGCTCGCTGAGGTGGCAGTCCCTGTGGTAAATCATCCGGAAATATCCCCGGGAACCGTTTCAGTAGTGCTTGTAATTCGGTCGGTACGGCTGCTAGCAGTTTCTGTAAATCGTTCTGTTGCTCGTCTTTTTCTACCACTGCGATATCCACTGCGTACACGTCAGCTCCAGCAGCGACAGCCCGTTTCATCGCGATGGCGTTGACCTGGACTGTCGAAGATTCGGGTGACCGCCAGCGAGGTAGGACGACCCAGTTACCGCTACTTCGCACTGTGCAGCTCCCCGTCGTCCAGTCGATTCGTGGGTTGTACCGTCGCAGCCAATCACGTCCCAGTAAAATGTCGTGCCCATCCAGCGTCGTTGCGAGCATTTCCTGTGTAAACCCGAAGTTTCCCCCGCAGCAGACTTTTACTCGCTCCACCTTTTCTCGTATGGCCAATGGCGTGCCGTCGACTAAGCGTGCATCTATCTCAGGTAAACATCGGTAAAGTGTTAACTGTAATTTCCGTGCGGTTGCAGTATTAACTAAACTGTGACTTGCTCCTCCGTCAATGAAGATTTTTACTGCTGCTCCCTGTATTTTCCCGTAGATCAGTACCGGGCAATCCGTCGCTGTACCCTCCTTATTCATCCGAGCCCGATCGATGGCGTGAATCGGTACTGTGACTCGGTGAGGGTCGGTGTGGTTGGGCGAGCAGGCAGTCTCGTCAGTAGTTGGCCCAACTTCTACTGACTGCTGGCGTTTCCCTGCCTCCGAGACTCCTTCCCCTGCTCTGCTCCTCGACGTCTCAGCTCCTCTGGACATTCGCTCTTGCGATGGCCCGGCCGGTTGCAAGTAAAGCAGCGCCCTCTAAATGGCGTGGCAGCTGCATTCGTTGCGACGGCATGTACAGTGGCGTGCTCGATCGGTCCCCGAGGACGATGTCCGAAATAGGACCACGGTCTCGGTCGGCGTAGGATATCGATTTTCTCGGCGAGCGCGAAGATTTCGTTGAAATTCGATAGCCCGCGTAGCATTATCTCGTGCGATATGTGTGAGAATAAGCGAACAGGAATGAATGAACTAGCAGTGAAAATGAGTACAAGTAGGAAACCCTAGAATTGTGTACCCCCTATAGGCTAACCCACTGTAGCCTACACAAGCATAACATATATAATGTTTGACACACCCCCATAGGCAAAGTGGGGGAGAACAAGGGGTCACAAGACCAGTCAAGCAAAGCAAAGCAAGCTCAGGGTGGATCACAAAGTCACCACACAGTCCGAGCACAAGAGCAGGGCCAGAGGCCAGTTCACATGCAGGAGTACAGACATATATATAAAACTAGACAAGCAAGAGCAGGTATATATATATGTCACAATACAAGTGAAGTCAAGAGGAGAGCAAGTGAGGCAAGACAGGCACAAGACCCAGCTGGGTGCAAAAGCGCTGATGGTCACAAGGCGCGAGTGCCTTGGTGAACACATCAGCAGTGTTGGCCTCAGAGGCCACGTACG